CCCGATGCGGGACTCGATCCCGGGACTCCAGGATCATGACCTGAGCCGAAGGCAGTCGCTTAACCAACTGAGCCACCCAGGCGCCCAAAACTAAAGGAAATCTTAATACGTACATACATATATACACGTATAAGACAAGAATGGGCAGGTTTAAATGGCACCAAATGGAAGGGAATTTTGGATACTGAGAATAGACCTTTATCAGGACAAAGGTGCTACTGAAATCTTTTGGCCAAGCAGTTACCATCTCTGCTGAGCCTACCGTGTCTCAGGCCCTCCGGCTACCAAACTGAAAAATCACATGGTTTCCACCCTTCAGGAGGATATTCAACTACACCTTGAGAACCTGCCAGGTGCCAGGTGTTGCTATGTTTAGGGATTCAGAAACGGTGGGCCACCAAGTTTACTAACCACCAAATCCTTATATTTTTTGCAGAAACCTTCCCCAATGGCTGGTGAGAATAAAAGGCTGATGCACAGTGTGCACAGAGAGGAGCCCCTGGGGCTGGGGCCTCTACAGAAGTTGGCAGAGAAGGGAAGCAGAAAGACTATTAGTAAGCAGATGAACAAAGAGCTTTTGACTGGATATGCCATGATTTTCTCTTCCAGCTAGTTAGAAGGTGAGTACAGAGAAGGCAATTTAGGTACCATCCTGCTGAAGCCAGGGGAATGGCCTATATGACCTCAGGGTGATCACTTCCAAGAACTCTAGAGCTTCTAAATATTCCTGAATCAGAAAGTTGCCATGCCCTTCCAGTGAGTGACCAGGCACAAGGTAGAGGGAAGAGGATAAGGAGACAAGACAGGTCTTTGATCTCTTTTCTTTACTGTGCTCCTCTAAGTTGTGAATGTGAGGCTCCTCCCTGCAGCATTGTCAAAGAAGGGGTCAGCGGGGTCCCACACTGACAGCACACACACAAAGAAAAAGCTGGCCTCGGTCATGTTCACTCCCCCTCCCAAAGCATTCCTCCAGGAGAAGCCCAAGGGCTGACCTTGGAATCCATGGCATAGGCGGCCTGGCAGGGCTCCAACTTGCTTCCGGCTTTGTGGGTGTCCCAAGTCAGCAGCCTGGAAGAGGACACACATACACGCAGGGTAGGCAGCTGTTCCCTGCGGGGACACCCCCTCCGGGACCCTCAGGAGAGAATCGAGGGAGCCAGCCTGGGCCCTGGCTCTGAGGCGCTCTCCAGACACAGCAGTAAAGCTCACACCTCGCCCACCCCAACCACACTCACCCAGGCTGCTCCCTTCTCAGCATGGAGCCTGGGCAGCAACCAAGTGAGCAGACTCTGGAGTTTTCCTCATCACAGAGACTTGCCAAAGCACTGAGAGCTCCCCAGGGTCGGTCTCCAACCTCAGAGTTCAGCTTTCCCACCCAGAGCTCACGGATCGTAAGACCTCATTGATCAGGCAAATCAGGGCAGTCTAGTTTATGAATTCCTTCTAAGCAAATACTTACATTAGCGCATTTCCTACAAGAATAAAGTTAGCTTGGGCACCTGGGTGGCACAGTTGGTCAAGTGTCCGACTCTTTGTTTCAGCTCAGGTTGTGATCTCAGGGTCATGAGATAGAGCCCCAACTCAGCTCCGGCTCAGTGCTGAGTCTGCTTGGGTTTCTCTCGGGCCCCTCCTTGCCCCCCACAGTGCACGCTCTCAAATAAATAAATAAATAAAAATCTTAAAAAAGAGAGAGAGAAGAAAGTTAGCTAATAAAGTATACCTAGAAGTTTTCAGGGCCTCTTGTTATTACTATGACTACTAATACGACCACTACCCAAGCCTTCCTTCAGCGTACAACCATTCTCAGAGCCTTCACATTATCTCTTCTGTTCCACACAACTATGTTGAAAAGTGGGTAGTATACTGTGTTGATCCTGCCTTACTTGGATGAAAGAATAAGGTTTGGGGAGTAAGAGACAGCCAGGCAGACCAGTTCTCCCCACAGGCCACATGGTTTCAATGGCATTCATATAGAAAGAGCTCTTATAAAATGTATATAAAGAAAAAGAAGCTTTGAAAGTAAAATGTTTTCTTAGCATTCAGTGACCAAGAAAGAAAGAAGGAAAGAGAATGTATATTTGACAATTACACAAAAGATTAAAGCTCCTCTACGGCACCTATTCCAAACTAAATAACCCTCATAAACAACCGACCAGACAAAAGGCAATTGGGGATTGAGTTCAAAAAGATTATGCCCATGAAGTGGAATATACAGAACATGAAAAGGATGAGCGATCCTGAACAATGGTTTCTACAGAACAGTCTCAACAATATAATACTATCTTAAAATGTATTTGCCTGTGTATGTGTGGTTTACACACAATATTAGGTTGAACCAAATGACATGGTCATTTTGTAGGGTAAAAAACAGCCAAATCTGGCAATTTTATCTTGGTTCTTAAATGTAGAGGAGATAAAAAACAAGAACAGACAACCAACTCCTCTGTAGGAAGCAAGGGTGAGACTCCCACAGGCAAGTGAAAAGGGGGCCAAGACCAGCACTGATGGGGATCGTGCCTTCCCCCACCAGGCAGCCACGCGCATTTGTGGGACACAATTATTCTCAGATCTGTCCATCTCCTGGCCCTCACCTTGTTGTTCTCTCAAGAAATAATTCACATATGGGGCTCCTGGGTGGCTCAGTCGGTAAGTGTCCAACTTGTGGCTTCCGCCCAGGTCACGACCTCAGGGTTGTGAGATGAAGCCCCTGTGGCCAGCTCCGTGCTCAACAGGGAGTCGGCTTGAAGATTCTCTCCCTCTACCCCTCCCCCCACTCATGCCCATGCTTGCTCTCTCTCTCTCTCTATAAAATCAATCTTTTTTTAAAAAAGGGAAAGAATTCACATAAACATTTGTTTCCTCCAGACTTTGATACAGTGAAAATAAAAGGAAACCTTGCTTAGAATGGAGTCATGGCCAGCAGGGGGGCGCTCTCATGCCCTACCACGGCTCATGAATTTCAGACCCAACAGGAAGAAACATAGCCTATAAGTCTGACCCTATGTTACTACCCTATTACCCCAGTAGGAGGAAGAGAGGTTTTCCTCCTGCCCCAGCAACAACCCAGCCAAGGAGAGACTGGCACGGGTCGGCCAATGAGAGGCCGCTATACTCAGACCTCCTCGTTTATTCCAATGGGCTTTTGGCTTCTAACAGCCGTCCCAGCAGTCCTCTCCTTGTTTTGTGAACTTACTATGGTTTTGCCATAACTTGCTTGTCCTGAATTACAATTCTCTGCTATTCTGGAATAAACCCACTGCTGCTGGTAAAATCAGTGGCAGTTTTATTTCCAAGGTTAACATTATTTGGTGATCAGAAGTGGGACTCACAGATGACCCCCACCAGCTGCAAGGCTGGGGAGCCAACACGTGTCGGGACCCACGGAGCCAGTCGGGCCCACTGCTTTCTCACTGACCCTGAAGTTTGAGAGTAAGTTTTCACCTGGATTTCGAGTTCTGCGCTCTTTTTTTTAAGATTTTATTTATTTATTTGAGAGAGAGAATGAGAGAGAGAGAGCACATGAGAGAGGGGAGGGTCAGAGGGAGAAGCAGACCCCCCGCTGAGCAGGTAGCCCAATGCAGGACTCGATCCCCGGACTCCAGGATCATGACCTGAGCCGAAGGCAGTCGCTCAACCAACTGAGCCACCCAGGCGCCCCGAGTTCTGCGCTCTTTATGCTTGAGCTTTCCAGACTTTATTTGGGACCTGTTTTAAGGCCTTGTCCTTTCTGAGAGTACTTGTTTGGCCTTTCGTCTGACTCCTTTTTTAGGAACCGACTGTTCTGTTGGAACTGTGCTGGCCTTCAGTCTGACTCCTTTGGGACCAGGCTATTCCTATTGAAACTGCAGTTTAGGAACTTTTCTTTTTGCTCTAGAGAAACAAAAAACACCTAAGAAATGGGATCCCAGTCATACAATTGCCCCTCTTCTGAGACCCTGGCCAGTTTTTTTTTGGTTAAAAACTACACTCCTGGGGCACCTGGGTGGCTCAGTTGGTTAAGTGACTGCCTTCGGCTCAGGTCATGATCCTGGAGTCCGGGGATCGAGTCCTGCATTGGGCTACCTGCTCAGCGGGGAGTTGGCTTCTCCCTCTGACCCTTCCCCCTCTCATGTGCTCTCTCTCTCTCATTCTCTCTCTCAAATAAATAAAAACTTAAAAAAAAAAATTTAAAAACTACACTCCCTTCTCATGTACATTTCTAACTAAATGGACCGACTTAACTATAATTTAGAACATCAATGGCCATTATGAGGCACTTTTTCTCCCCAGACTTGTTTTACTCTAAATTAGAAAGCTGTGGCCCTGGGCGCCTGGGTGGCTCAGTGGTTAAGCGTCTGCTTTCGGCTCGGGTCATGATCTCGGGGTCCTGGGATCGAGCCCCGC